CCCATAAGTAGTGCGGTAGTCTGGTTCGGACTCTAGTGCCTCCTTTACTCTCTTGAGGAGGTCACTATAAATAGGGTCTTGCGCATACACTTCTCCAACTTTCTGTTGCAAGTCTCTCCCTATATCCAGATAATGAACTATCGCTCCAAAGTAGTCAGCTCTCCTACTTAGAGCGTCCGCAACTACATTGTACTTCCCTTTTACTGGCTTGAGCTCAAAATCGTACTGGTCTAACTCTGCGGCCCACCTAGTAAGCTTAGGTGTCATCTTGGCCTGAGTCTTCAGCCATCTTAACGTCTCGTGGTCTGAATAGACTTTGAAGTGCCTCCCAAGCAAGTAGTGCTTCCAGTGTTCTAATGCTTGCCTGAGAGCGTAGAGTTCCCTTTCGTAGGTGGATGTCGCTACCTTCTCCGAAGGCATCCTAGCAGACATAAACTCTACGGGTCTATATCCACTGCCATTGTCTTGCTGTAATACAACACCTATACCATACTGACTCGCGTCAGTAGTGACGATGAAAGGTAAGGACGGATCGGCTACCTTAAGGACTGGGTACTCTATCAATGCCTGCTTCAATTTCTTCATGGCAGAAGTGCAGTCCTTGTCCCACTTCCAGATTATTTCTTTCTTCAGTAACCTGCGAAGGGGTGCAGCGATGGTGGAGAAGTTTCTCACAAACTTCCTGTAATAGTTAGCTAGGCCTAAGAACGACCGCAACTTTGTCAACGTGCGGGGTGTAGGCCAATCTCTAATCGCTGCAATCTTGCTATCTTCTGGTTTAATGCCGTCTCCGTCTAGGACATGACCTAGATACAAAACTTGGGTCTTTGCCCATTCGCACTTCTTTGTGTTGATCTTGAAGTTAGCCTCTCTCAGCTTCTCCAAGACCTGCCTCAGACGACCCTCATGCTCCTGGAGGGTCCTACTGAACGCTAGAATATCATCTAAGTAGACTACTACAAACCTATCTAACCACGGCCTAAATAAGTTGTTCATACAACGCTGAAAAGTTGTTGGCGCGTTGGTTAGTCCAAAGGGCACAACTATGAACTCGTAGTGCCCATACCTAGTCCGGAATGCAGTCTTATACTGATCATCAGGGTGAACCTCTACCTAATGATATCCGAACTTCAAATCTATCTTTGATAAGTACTTGCAACCCTGCACCCGATCGAAAAGATCATCTATACGGGGCAGTGGCTCCGCATTCTTCACTGTAATAGCATTAAGACTCCTGTAGTCAATGCACATTCTAAGCTCTCCCTCCTTCTTGGGGACAAATAGAACAGGTGCTCCAAATGGAGACGAACTGGGACTAATCCAACCCTTCTCTAAGAGTTCATCTAACTGCTTGCGCAACTCCTCCAACTCCCGGGGGGACATCCGATACATTGCCCTTTTAGGAGTCCTACTGCCAGGCTCTATCTCAATGCGATGTTGGATGGGCTGTGGGACTACCCCTGTTGGCGGCTTAGCTAAATATGTGTACTCTTCCAGCAGCTTGGCAATGGCGGGATCTATGGGCTTTTCTTCTTTAGGCTCAGTAACTGGCCTAACATAGTCTACAAAGACCTGTTCTTCTAGCTGCTCCTTCTTCACTAACCTTGCAAATGCAGGAGCGCGAAGGCAGCAATGTGCCAGGGAGTTGTCTACTCCTGACACATGAAACAGACGGGCAGTCTTGACCTCGCCTGACGGTCTAGGGAGCCTACACTCATGCTCTCTCAAATGGAGTGTGGCCCCTGCTACCTCTCCCCAGTCCATTCCTAGGACTATATCGAAGGGAAGGTTATCCTCTACGAGGAGAGTCAGGGAATGGAGAACTCTCTCCACCTTCCCATCTTTCTCTAGGCAGAAGTACGCCTGGACTCCCTCTACGTAATCCTCTACTCGCATTGTGCGATTATCAGCGAGGATACTTACTATGGGGTCTGCTAATTTTTGGACTTTCAATCCCAACTTTAACTTTTGCAGCGCCTTTCTACTAATATAGCTGCGATTGGCCCCACTGTCTACGAGGGCCCCTACTCTGCTCCTAAAGACTTCTACGTCTACTAGTACTAGCTAACTACGATTTCATTAAAACGGACATTTTTTATTTTCTGAACGAAATTGAAACTGAAAAATTTTGCCATATTTTTCTTCATATGTGAATTATTTGTAATAGGAAAAAGGGGTAAGGGGTAAGGGGTAAGGGGTAAGGGGGTAAGCGGTAAGGGGTAGGGTGTAGGGGGTAAGGGGTAAGTGGTAAGGGGTAGGGGGTAAGGGGTAAGGGGTAGAGGGTGAGGGGTAAGGGGTACGGGATAGGGGGGTCAGAGGTAAAGGGAAGAGGAGTAAGAGGTAAGAGATAAGATGTCCTTCTTGCACGACCAGTTACATTTCTCGTGAACCGCATAAGTAATCCTCGTTACAGTTACAAACTCTTCTTCTCCTATATCACATCTATTTAAGATCACTGCATGGTCATTTCATGTGTTTGAACGTCTTATTGTAAATGGAACAAATGCGTCTACTTCACAACAGCTACGTCGAAAGCTATCCGGCATCGTAGTTTCTTTGTATCATCTGATGTGAACGTGAATGGTGGAAGAAACCCTCTCGCCAATAGTGATGCATATGTCAGCATAAACACACCGCACTCGTTGAAGTCGCGCTGCTTTGGAATGTCTTCCACTACCCATATATGGTTGAAGTTTTTTTGTGTCAATTTCTTGACCTTGTTCGACCAATCTCATGTACAGAAATCTTGCGAACCCCCCGGTCACCTTACTTGCGAGTTGAACATCCGGTGCCAGCGAATCGTAGTACTCAATTTACATACGCCTAAGGTCTGTCACTACGAGTGTCCAATGTTGGTTGTGCGCGACGTGGAAAGTGCAATAATCAAGTCCATGTCGCTAGTCACGACCTCTGTGAACCACCTGCGAACCTTTTCGTACTCAAACTTCATATCGCTATCGAATAGTCTCGCGAAAAAAAACGAGCTTAGAACTGCTTCTCCAGGAATGCGCCCATTTCCTGTTCTAACCACATTCTCGTTCTTCGAGTCGCAATTATGGTGCTTCACACGGCATTCACTGTCCAGTCGGACAAGGTTAAGATAAAAATTAACTATCTGCTCGTTCAACCACTTTTTTTCTATCATTAGCAAGCTAAAATCGTTGACTGTCATCGTTAATTCTTCTTTTGTGTCTTCGTTAAACGAGCATGCTATGACGTCTGTATTCCCAATTTGCACTCGCAATCGCGTGAGGGCCTCCAGCTCTGGATCCGTCAAGTTCGTTGTTGCCAAGTGGACGGTCCATCCTTTTTTGCACCTCCAGTTATCCTCCATTGTCGTTTGCGCTGCACATGACAATGCGCCATGTCTTTATGTGAGCTATTGTTTCACACCTTACATTTCTAATCATTTTTATTGAATTCAATTTATTGCAGTAATGTGAAATGGGGCTTACCTTGAACGAGCAGGGTGCTTATAAGAACTAGGAATTTACGTAGTGGAAACCAATACACTGCATTATTTTCTTTCGTACACTTTCATCACTTTCACGAACCTCGTCAATAGTGTTTGATGACATACCACACTAATATTTATGATTTACCACACTAATAATCATACTCTCGTTAAATCCATCGAGAGAGAGAGAGAGAGAGAGATTGTTATGTATCATGATTGACATTTCCTCTCAAATTCACTGCGGAATCAATTATTTTATCATGCGTCTCCCTCCGAATATTTATCCGAGTTCGGTACACACACACACACACACACACACACACACACACACACACACACACCTATGTACACACACACGCACACCAACGAACACGCATATCACCCTCTCCATATATCTACACATTGATCTGATGTTTTTTTGTTTTTTCTCTTGTCGACCGTCTGGTAGGGAGACTTCCGTCATTCACTCCCTTCTGTTCATCAACATTGTCCCTTGCATCCTCATCGTCATTGTTCCCCTCTACATGTACGTTTTGCCCTTCATCGCTTAATGAAATACAATTAATCACAGTCTGTGACGTGGTTGATCCCCCAAGCTTCCTCTTCCCCTCATTCTCCGCGTCAACACTTTCATCATCTCATCGGAATTTTCTTGCACCTCACTCGCACGTTCTGCATGCCCACCTTGTTGCATTCCATCTGCGACCGCCATGTTCGCGGAAGGAGTGGGACTCTCCATCTGTGATTCACTCTGGTTTCCCGCCTGAGTTATTAGAGGAGGCTCGTACGATCCAACATTCGATTTGTCTTCGTTGACATTCCGTGTTCCCTTGTCCACCCCCATCATCTTGACAGCAGTTTGGCTCATTGCTTCCCCAACACTGGCAGCAAACTGCGTCGTCGACTGCTCCCCAAGCTGTGAGCATCCCAACCGGATTGTCTCGATGCCTTGGCACGCAGGAGGAAGTTCCATCTTCCAATCGATGGTCTTATATGACCGGCTTGATGGCAAGTCATAGAATTTGTGTTTATATTCCAGTCGATTGTCTGAGCGCAGAGAATCGAACAGCAGTCGAGCCTTCTCCTCAATAGCCGCCTCGTCCACCCCCTCGTTTTCGCACTTGACACGAAAGACGATTTCGCTCCTCGCCACTTTTAGCCACGGTTCTTCTGCCAGTCTGGGTTTGATTTTCCATCCCGATGATAGATGCAGTGCCATCATCCACTCCCCCTTGAAGACGCACGGCTCGAACACGTCCGTATGCCACAAAATGCGATGCCCCCACTTCTTAGATGTCGTTTCTGGCACCTTGTCATGAATGAAGTATTGTTGTGCACTGTCCTGCACAATGCGATCGGGGATATCATCACTAGGCATGAGCTTCGGGGATGGATCTGGAACAGCCAAGTCATCTTCGTCAGCGTCTGTCAGCATGTCGTGGTCCGCGTTTCCTCCAGATGAAGGCCTTTCCTGCAACCTGCGACGATTGTCATAAATCAATACATTCTCAAGTGCTCGGAGGGCGTCGGCGAATCAGTTTGCATCTGGACAATGGAACTCGCCCTGTCCGTCACATCACGTGCAGGACTGCTCGCACCTCCTCAGTTCGTGGGACCTCGTTCTGGATTCTCGTTCTGCACGCTGCATGCAGGCACACTTTGCATTCCCTCTCACGAACGTTTCACTCGCTCTTCGATATCGAGGTCTGAGGTTTCAGTCTCCTCGTCGCTCTCGATCGGACACCATGCATCTATTGTCTTGGCGAGGTTACTGTAGTCATCGTATGTCAGCATTGTCCGATTTGTCGTGAACTTCAGTTGCTTGCATCGTGCCACAAACATCACAAACGTACCCACCTGCGCTTTGTGGTAACCACCATATGCTTCCTATGCCATCGCTTTGCGAACTATGTAGTCATGCTCGAATGACGACTTGGGTTGGCCTTGGAACAAATAGTCCCACATCTTGTTTCTCTTCTTGCCCAGCTTGTGGTACATATCTCTGTACGGACGATGCGCAGTCTTCTGCCTCTCAACCGTGCAATCATTTCTCGTGTCCTTCCCAAGAATGTCGATTGCCTTCATCAAGTACGAGATGTCTTTGGACGACGCGTCGCATGCAAAAACATGATAGCCTGCGCGCAGAAGCTCCCATACAAGTCCAGCATGCGGCTTTCCGATAAGTATCACCCCCTGATCCTTGTGCAAAAACGAACTACATAACTTCTACAACAGTGTCGCATGTCGTCCCCACCGCCCATATTCCTCTCGTTCGTTTCCTTCATCGCCGCCGTGCTTTGCTGTGCACCTCTCGAACTTGTCTTCCTCAACATTGAGCTCCACTAGCTTCGCCTCCGACTTAGGGACCCTCGTGACCTTCTTGAGGTCGCCGCCCTCGGCATGCAGGACGATCGCCATCGTGTCCTTGTAATCAACTTGCTAGTTCCCGTACTTGCTGACAGTCGTCCCGACCCCGAGATAACGCTTCCAAGTTCAAGGTATCACCTCTACGTCGTCCCAGTTGTAAAGTTGTCGCATGACGATCTTCTGTTGTTTTTGTGGGGCAAAAACAATCAATATCCAATTATTGCCGCACAATTTCGACATCATTATGTGCAGAGCATCGAAATCGGTCGGCGACCATGCAAGGCACTCCTTCGGGTTTGCGAGATCGAGGATGGAGGCCTTGCAATTCAAGTTTGTGACTGCAGTCACAATTTCGTCGGCCGCGAGCAGCAACTCCTTCGGGTGCATGTTGACCGACAGCAATGTCGACCGTCGCCCTTTCTTCTCCCAGCACAGATGAAGCGCAACGTTCTTCAACCGTCGCAACTCAGCTGTCAGCAAGTCCACTTTCCCTATGGCGTGGTACACAAAGTACTTGAAATGGAATGGCGCGTCCCTATACAACGCCTCCGTGGCCTTTAGACCAGCTCCTTTTAGGTCTTTTTGTTCTTGCTCTCCGCCGAGTCTTTTCGGAACCCTCCGGACATATTCCAAAGGGATCCTATCCCTTTCCTCATCCCATTCGCCTGCCTTTATGCCAAACCTTTGCTCCATTTTATCATAGTCGAAGAAGAACCCCTCCTTCCACTCATTTGTCTCTCTGTTCTTCGATTTGAAGACAAACGCGTCATGTATCTCTCGCGCATTATGATGTCGAGGAGGTTGGTCATGTTCATCTTCCCAGGAGGAACCAATCTAGTTATGGCGATGACTTTCTTATTGATCATCAAACACAAAGCGATTTCCTTCTCTCGTGCTGCCATATCCCCAAAACATTTGAAGTTTGATGGAACGAGATCTTTGAGGGACACCGTTGCGTTTGGTCCCCCGTCCTTAGCCGGAATGCAATGGAACACCTCCTTCTTCCCCTGCACCTCTTGAACGAATTGGCCCGGCATGCGCCTCTCCTGCCTCCCCGACGAGTCCTTTGGGCACTGGTTGTCGTGTAGCGGCAACTCCCCCGCTTCGAACTTCTCAAAAAAGTCCTTCACCAATGGCCTTATCCGGTCCCTACATGTGGCGACATTCATGTATCCCCTCATCCTGTTCGTCCAGTCCTGTTGCCACTTCGGAGCCAAAGCCTCAGTCCACAAGGATTTGTCACATGACCGGCCCATGCAAATTCTCATGAACTTCCTCCACTCTTCCTGCTGCGTCAAACCGATGGGATCCGTTTTGGACACGTTCCTTACAGGTCCGATCTGGTTCTTCGAATCCCAAAAATTTCTAATGTCTTGGCAGGCTTGGTGGAACAACGACAACATAGCGCGGTTACCTCTCGTGTTGTCGTATGTCGAAACATACACATACCCGTTCGTGTGGTCGTCGTTGAAATAAATGATCCGTACACGATCATAATTTCGAAAGCCGAACATGTCCACTGCTGCGGATTCCCTCGCCACTGCTCTTTTCATGGCTTCGGCAGTATGCTGGCCGGCAACCGGGTAATAGAAGTACTCGTCTGCCCTATCGGGACCGAAGTCCTTTGGAAGGACTCGTATCCCTTGCCTGTCTGGATCGTCCTTCCATGGCGTAATCGGAGCCAGCACCAACTCCGGCGGTTCCCACGGAGGAGGATCATCCTCGGCCCTTGGCCCAGTCGACAACTCGATAGCCGCATCGAGGCCTGCAAGGATGGCCATGTTCAGCGATCGCTGATTGAAGGCGATATCTCCCTCCAGAATTCGAAGAATCTGCACGACGTCAATTACCACCCTCAGCGGGTCTCTTCTCGTTTTGCCCTCCTCATCGTACTCGAGGAAGTAGCATTGCGTCATGTTGATCGCACTAGGTTTCTTCGTCTCATGTTCGATGTCGTCAGGGAGGGAGAGCAAGCAAGGGGCCACCCCTTCAGCATCGTCGCTGGAGTCGTCTAATTTTTGGCGCCTTGATGGCCGCACGAGATTCTTGGGTTGCGACGTTTTGTGAATCCGAGCACTTGATTTGTGCTTCACATCGGGTTCACCAAGCGTCCCTTGAGATGCATCCAAGGCGTTCTGAGCTTCGTCCACAGCTTTCCTTCGAGCCTGCTTCTTAGGCGCCGCTTGCATCTGCGACTCTTCCGCTGTGCGTTTTCCCCCCCTCTTGGAAGTCAGCCCCGCGGAAACACCGGCATCTCCTCCATTGTTTTCCAATTCCCCGTCTTCCATTTCCGAACCACCCTGACCGCCATATTCCACCCCACCAGTCACCGCAACTCTGTCTCACTCCATTTGCTCCACTGTTCCATCGCAATGGGCTGCCCCACCTCCAACGTTTTCTCGCTGCTCGCCATTACCACACTCGCCTTCATCTTCTTCATATTCTCAATCGCCCCTTAACCGGGCTTTGCCACCTCCACCAGCTTCCCGCCCCACATTCACATCGCAAGAGCCTTCGCCCCGGATGTGCCCAGGCGTCGCCAAGAACCGCGAATCCAATTTACAAACCCGTTCGTCTTCCTCCGTTTCTTCATCCGACTCCTCGTCCATTTGATGTTGTGGGGTGTTCCGCAAGCGCGAGCTGGCAGCAGCACGAGAACTTTCGGGTAGATCCGAAAGACATCTGGCGAGCTCCATCGTCTTCGGGGTCGTCGTCGATGACCCACCCCCCGAACGCCTTGAGTAAGTAATGAGTTTCTGTTTCTTGCCAACAGGTTGTTGCGGTGTCGACACAACCTGCCGCCGATCGCTAGAGAAAGTCGAGAAGCCTGCGAGACTTTCGACAGGAGTGTCGAACGGCACAAGAGGCATTGTGAGCTGGTGACCAGCGCCGACCGTCGGGAATTGACCACTTTTCCTATACCCGTTGGTCTTGTTGAGGAATTCAACGGGTAGAAGCATTCTAAACTCATTCCCATCTCCTTTGCCGCCGAAGGCTTTCATAACGAATGCCTTCTGACCATACTCCTTGAACAGAGCAAGGTCGAGGCTGACCTTGTGGTCAGTCTTGACCCAGTCGGTACCCTGTTCAACGTACACCGAAGTGAGGAAGAACTTCCTCAAGTCTCGCTCGTCGACCTTCCCCTTCTCCGCCGTGGCCTTGTCAATTTCAGACCTGATTATGCCACGACAACAGTACCAGGTCGCCCCTTCGTCCTCCGTCAAAAACACAGCAGCACCGCACCCGGGCTCGTTGGTCCCTCCGACCCAGTCGAGAGCCCACAGCTTGTCGCGGTACAGTTTCGACCTGTTGTTGAACCTTTTATCCCCATCATTCGGACCCTTCCGACCTCTCCCTGGAGAAGAAATCCATAAGAAAAAGGACGAGGGATGCAACATTGTCACCTATCTCTATCTCACGCCGCACAAGATGGCACATGGCAAACAACAAAAGCAAACCGCCACCCACATGCCGACGGCGCTCATTTCATGGGCGGGGGGTTGGGAATAAAGAGTCTGCAAAAAAAACGGACGCTCAACGGCTCCAACCGCCAACTGGGGGGTCCAACGTTCTGGACACCCCGCGCTTGTTGTTGCCGACAGTCTGGGGTCATTTGTTTGGCAAACGGTGCAACCCCGCCCACCGACAGCGACAAACGTTGTGGGGTCCAGCGTTCGGCAAACGCTGGAGCCCCGCCTGTCGACAGCAACAAACGTCGTGGGGTCCAACGCTGGACCCCCGCCTACCGGCCTCTGCAAGGCGGGGGTCCAACGTTTTACGAACGCGGGACCCCCTTCTACCGGCTTGTGCAAGGCAGGGGTCCAGCGTGTTACAGAAGCGGGACCCCCTTCTACCGGCTTGTGCAAGGCGGGGGTCAAGCGTTTCACAAACGCGGGACCCCCGCCTACCGGAGTGCGCAAGGCGGGACCCCCGCCTACCCGCTTAACGCTGGACCCCTGCCAACAACCCGGCCGGTAGGCGGGGTCGATCGTTTTACAAACGCTGGACCCCCGCCAATAGCACAAGCCGGTAGGGGGGGATTTAGCGTTTGTGAAACGTTGGACCCCCGCCTACCGGCTTGTGCAAGGCGGGGGTCCTGGGTTTGTAAAACGCTGGACCCCCGCCAATAGCACGTCCGCCTGGCGGGGGTCCAGCGTTGGTCAAACGATGGACCCCCGCCAATAGCACCGTCGGTAGGGGAGGGTCCAGCATTTTACAAACGCTGGACCCCCCGCCTTGCACAAGCGTGTAGGGGGGGGTCCAGCGTTTTACAAACGCTGGACCCCCGCCTTGCACAAGCCGGTAGGCGCCTGCCTGCCTACCGGCTTGTGCTATTGGCGGAGATCCAGCGTTTGTAAAACGATGGACCCAAACGCTGGACCCCCCGCCTTGCACAAGCCTGTAGGCGGGGGTCCAGCGTTTCACAAACGCTGGACCCCCGCCTACCGGCTTGTGCTATTGGCGGGGGTCCAGCGTTTGTAAAACGATGGACCCCCGCCTACCGGCCGGGTTGTTGGCAGGGGTCCAGCGTTTGTGAAATGGTGGACCCCCTCCTTGCACAAGAAACATTGAAAGAAAAAGAGAGAGAGAGAGAGAGAGAGAGAGAGAGAGAGAGAGAGAGAGAGAGAGAGAGAGAGAGAGAGAGAGAGAGATTCATGAAAAAGGTGGGGGGAGATTCGTGAATCTCCTCCACCTAGTTTCCCCCACCAATCATCTACTATAGGGTGGGGAAAGTGACAATCTACCAACCAATCAACAAAGGATACATTTCACGATTTTTCGAAAAAAAACAAGGT